CACCTTTTGAGCTGTAAGCGCGCAACTTACTAACAGTATGTGGATCGCCTGCAAGAATTTGCACAGCGAAAATTCACTGTCAATAAAAAAAATTTTGTCTTTTTAAACTACTTTTCACTTATTATGCGATCAGACTAACTTCATATAAATTTATTAGTTGCGTGACACAATGATACACCGGCACTTCCACTGTCCGTAAGGAAAAGCTAATTTTGCGCATACACAGTTAAAATGTGTAACGCATGCATCATCTGCCAATCTTGGCACTTCAAAACCATATCCCCAACCCCCTCCCCCCCAACAGCCTCATTTTTACAAGTCCCATCCGCGATCTCATCTCAGTCATAGATATCCCACATCATTCCAATCAACCGGCCACGATACTTCTTTCAAAAACTTTGTGCATATACAGTTAAATGTGTATCCTCTGCCCAATACCTGCCATTTTCTTATTTCATTTTGACATCCCCGTTACGTCCTCTGCACACAGAGCAGCGGGGCCTTCTTTGCCTCGGAAGATTTTGATATGCTCTGGTGAACAAGGATCACTGGGATCTTTCTTTTGGTCCGCAAAAAATATTTCTCAACTTCCTGTGACCGATGCAAAACAATTCCAGGCAACCTTTATCAGAACATAAAATTTACCTAAATTTTTCTTGGATATCACATAACAGCAGCACAGCATTGCTTGGACAGAGCCGTGAGATAGTGCGAGACATCCTGGTCAACTTATGTCACTCCTGAAATACATAAAACAATCACAAGAACTTGATTTGCCAACACAAAATACATTCGTTTTTTGGGTTGTTGCAGGGGTTGTGAACATCGTAATATCTTCTCATGGATTGCGAGCGGATTTGTTTTACAACTTCAATTCCAGTCTGAACGGCAAGCCAGGAAGAAGGACCAGGGATGCTGGTTTGGACCAATGAGATGTCGAAACAAAGGAAGGAGGGAAAGAGAGAGGAGGGAGAAATACTGACCAAAAAAAAATTTGTGCGTAAGTACCGGATTTTCTGTCCAAGTGAGATTCCCGGTGTCACATACAAACCTATCAGTTTAAGCTTAGCAATCCAGTCTTTTGCTGAGCATCATAAATCTATACAACTTCCCTCCCTCCCCCCTCCCCCACTCCTCTCAGCCCCCTTCTCCTTCGCTTCCCCCATAATTTTCGCCAGTGTTTCCAGGTAAGGTCTCAACTCTTTTTCAGCAAATAATCCCATCCTTTCCCTTCCAGCGCACAACTGCTTATCCATATTACTCCACCAAAGGGGCACACCACAATCATCGCAACTCATCCCCCAATCCCGGCCGAGCTGAGTTCCAGTAACTGCACGAAAACAATGCACTGTCGAATAGTAGTACCAACAAACAATGAGAACATCCTTTTATCTTAACTAATTTATATGCCTTACTAAATTACTGTGTTACTAAAATCGTTGTACTGATGAGGTCCAATTGTGGTAACGGTAAGAAATGTATATGACTTAATGGACCGAAACATTTCTTACC